GGCGCGGACGGGGGGAGCTCCGGTGCGGCGGGAGGGGGCCCCGCCGGCCGGGGTTGGCTGCGGCCCGGGCTCCGAGGGCTGTGTCCCCGGGGTGTGTCCAGGGGGACGCCGGGTTTGTCCCGCCGGTCCGGGGAGGCAGCGGCCTGGGCCCGGGCCTGGGCCCGGGCCTAGGCCGCGTCCCCGCCGTGGCGGAGTAGGAACAGCGACAACGCGGCGGGCGCTGGGGCTTCGTGGGAGCGCGCGGTGAAACTGTCCCCGACGCTCTTTTCCCCGCAGGCGAGGAGGACGCCGGCAGCTCGGCCAGAGAGAGCCGGTACCGGGCTGCATGCCGGGCCTGCGGTGTGACCCCGGCCTCCGGCCTCCTGCGGCGCACGGCGGGCCCCCTGCTCAGCCTGCGGCACCGTGGCCTGGGCCCGCGGGTGAGGGATGGAAGCACCGTTGCCCTGCTTGAGGGACACCCGCCGCGGGGCTCTGGGGTGTCAGAGGGGCTGCAGACCCTGTCAGCCGGCTGGGGCTGTCCCCTCTGGTCACCCCACTGTCACGCTTAGCTGTGGTCCCTTGCCAGAACCAGAAACCGGTGCAAAAACCCCAACCCAGGGACTGTCGGTTTTGTCTTTCCCACTAACAAAAACGTTGTTGTAACTCCTTCGGGTATCAAAGCAGTGCAAGTTTCACGTCAAGAACATGTCAAGGACCCTTTTCTGCCAGCCTTGTGGGTGGTTCAGATACCATTTAGGGGCTAGCGTTATGCCACACGAGGTTTGGTGTTTGGCGGGCGGTGGGGATTTGTCAGCAGGTTGTTTTGCAGGGCTTGGGAATGGGAGTCATCTCCTTTCCCGGGTGCAGGAGGGGAGGTGGGAGGATAGGATGTGCAGGTGTGTCATTACCCCTCTTCCACCTTGGGTGGAGAATTGTTCCTGAGGGTGTGTTGTCTGCCCTGGAGTACTCCACATTTTTTAAAGTAATATTTTTAGGAAGAAATTATAAACCTTTTGTACGTTCACGCATTGGTTCGTGTCAGGTAGTCCCACCCGTGAAAGCTGCTTTCAGGGGGTATGGCATTTTGGAAATGTGTAGTTTGGACCATGAAAAGGGTGCAGCCTTTCATACTAATTTTTGGTGATAAACCTTTTTGTTCTGTTAAATTTATTTTGTCTGAATTGTTCTCTGAGGTCCCTTCCAGTTCATTTTCCTGTGTCTGATATCCAAGGCTGGGAAAAATAATATGATTTTGCAGTACTTGTTGAGTAATTACAAGGTCATTGCCATACTTTTGTTAAATTGTAAATATTTTTGAAATTAAGATTTCCTCCTGACAGAGATCAGGATACTGGTGCAATACAGGCTTCTTAGATGTTGAGGTCAGGATTCAGAGCAGCTGTAAGTAAACTAAAGGGGCACTTACTATGGCTGTACTCACAGACTGCCAGGTAGAAGTGATGTCTGGAGAGGTACATCATCGGGCACAATGGGCCAGAACCTTTTCCTTTTCCTTTGCATCGTGAATATTGACAGCAGAAGTATTTTTCATCATTTTTAGGGAAGGAGAAATTAATTCTTTAATAACGTAAAGGACATATCTTAAACCATATTCAGCATTTGCTTTTCCGGTATAGCTTTAAATGATTTTGAAAGGGGAATCTTTTTGCATGATTCTGTTGGTGGCTTTGTGAAATCCCCCTGCACCCTGCCAGACTAAGGGAATGTGAAACAGAAACATCCACAAGAGCTTTGTGAACCCAGTGAAACTGTAAATGACCCATTTTGGGTTCTTTTCGTTGCAGGGTGCCAAGGCTTTAGCTCTTTCTTTGATGGTTGATACCTCTATCCTCATGTTAGACCTAAGTGACAACTGGCTGCAGGGAGAAGGGGCGGCTGCAATTGCAGAGATGCTGAAAGAAAACTGCTTCATTTCAGGTTTGTGTGCTCCCATCTGCTGTTCTGTGGTAGATGTGTTGCTGTAGAGGAGGAAGTTGTACTGGCTTCTTTGTGGATTTAACCAGTCCTGCTGTCATAGTGACTCTGTGTGTGTGAAGAGGTGCTGTTTGAACAGTGAGTGTTTAAAACTGTGCTGCTTCATCACCTTTCTTCACCTGTTTTCACAGCACTTACTTTTGTGAAGTTAGGATGCCACTAACTGGAGTCAGCCCAGTCTTGTTATTCCTGTGAAAGCCAGGAGAAAGAGCGAGTTTCTGCTTTGATTGTGGATCAGAAACATCCACCTGAAACTTAGGCTATTCAGAGGATGTGGTTAATAATGGTTAAGGGTTTGGAAGCTGAATTTGCGTGATTTGCATCTAAGAAAACAGGGCTTTTAAGTAGGGACAAGTGGAAGAGAAGCCCATCTAGAGTGAATCTGCAAGCCTCTGTTCTAGCAGCAGCACACATCTGTTCTTCATGGGACATTTCATGTGTCCAATACCTCTGTAGTATTAGACTAAAGGTACTACAGATAGAGGGAGCAGAAGCAGAGCAGCGGTTCCTGAATTTAAGTCTCAGGCAGTGTTGTGTCTAGAGATCATGGTTTTAGTCCCTGCTTTTCCAGGGTCGATATTCCTGCCTTTCATAATTTAAGTAGCAACTCCCAGTTATATGTGGATAGGTTATCTGGGTTGTGGGTTACACATGGCAGGGTCTTGTGCTGGCTCCGCAGAGCTGAGGTGCAGTGAAGGCTTCGGTGGGATACAGCTGGTTGTGCCAGCATGTAGCCAGAAGCACTAAGAAGCCCTGCCAAACCTGAGGTTGTTAACATGCAGAGACAGTCTAGGAGTCCCTGTGCTGTGCTTCTGTGTGAAGAGCGCAGAGCAGAGACCCAGGATGGGTCTGTGTGGAGCCCCTGTCATGTCTCTTGTGTCGCATTTTCCAGCACTTGCATTAACCTCCTGTTTCAGTGTCTGAATCTCCAGGCCCCTGCTATGATACAGGCAGAACTTTGCTCTAAGTCATGCTGGTTGCTGCACTGAAGGATATATTTTATTCACAAAGAACAAGGTCAGTTTAGACAGCTGAGAACACAACTCTTGTATAACTAAGGCAAGCCTAATCTGCTTTGTCAGGAAGTCATCATGGATGAAGGGGACAGGTTCTGTGCTGTGAACCCCCCAGTAACAAGGGATTTCCTTATTTTTGTTTTCTAGTGGTTGGATTCAGTGTTAGAGGTTTAGGATTCTGTTACTTCTGTGCGAGGAAAATTCATTCTGTATGTAGGTGGGCAGACAAGTTCATGCTTTCATATTTGGGTCTCAGTGTCTGTCTTCACATCCGTTTGTGTTGTTACATTTAGCTTCGCTCGCTCTCCCAGCCTACACTCTTTTTTTCCAGCCATGATGAGGAACCAAGAAACCCACTACAACTTTGCTGAGTGTAGGTTGTGCCTGGAGCAGGAAGCATAGATGTACAAGGATTGCTTTTGTCTCATGTCCCATATTCATGTGGCAAAACTTGAATGAGCCTATCTTAGGGACAGTCTGTGAATTAAAAAATTAAGTTCTGTTGTTCCTACTAAAATGCTGTGTTAGAGTAGGTTTAGCATTCTTATTTTCCAAGTCTGGCACTGCTTCTGCCATTGCAGCATAGAGGTCAGGCACCTCCCTGGCATCTGATATGATATGATTTGGTGGTCTGATAATGTTTTTTCTTTCCCCAGCTGTTGATTTATCTGACAACAAAATAGGCATTGAAGGAGCTAAGGCCTTTTCTGCTATGCTTCTAGAAAATACTACAATTGTGTCCCTCCAGCTCTCAGGAAATGAATTTGATGATCATGCAGTAAAGTATTTAGCGGATGCCCTCACAGCAAACAGCAAAGTGGAAATTCTGGATTTGAGTTACAACATGTTTGGTGACAAAGCAGGTAAGGTGCTGTCTGTGCAGC